TTTTTGGACGCCATGGACGTTTCTCAGTTTCCAGGCAGAAAGAACAGTAAAAATGCAGGCAGGGCGCCGGACAAAGCACTCGGGACACAATGTATGTGAAATGGTTTGATACAGGAATGTTATACTATGAGATTTTAGTGGATTTAGTGAATGTCACTATTTCACATTTTTTAATTTCCCGCCATTCCGTCCCCTGTATGTCCCAACGCTTGCAGGGACCTGAAGACGGATGCCGGCATCGGCCGGAGGACATTGCCGGGGACACTGCAGGGGGGACATCGGGCGGGACAAGCTAAGTGAAGAAGAGATCCCGGAGCAACACTGCAGTGTATTCCCGAGTGTAGCTCGGGGGGGGGGGGGGGTCACCGCTTGTGGTGCTGAAACTTTACCCCGAGCTACACTCAGGAATACCGCCAGGGGGGTTAATCCTTTTGCTGCTAGCATTAGTAAAAGAAAAAAAAAAAAATTATGAGGTGAGTATAACATGTTTGTTATTTTTTATTTAAAACATTTTTTCACTTTAGTAACACTTTAAGATGGTCAGCCAGAAATTCTAGGGGGGGGGTGATTTTCTCAGCAAAATAAAACACGGAGACATGGATGGATGGTTGAGATTGCTTTGAATATTAAAAATAAATGATATAGAGTTTTTTGTTTGTGCTGCTCAGATGTAGTTCCGCTTTACGTTTACAAGTGTTACTAGTTACTTCCAGCCTGCCGTTACACCGAACACGGGAAAAGATTTTACGGCGAATGCAAAAACTCTCGTTTCTCTTCTGTTCATTGAAGGACACAGCCGGGTCTCTAGACTTCGAGCTTTGGACCCTCCCCAAAGCAATGCCAGAGAGGATACCCATATTTTTTGGGGGAATCCAGAAAAAGCAAACCCAGGGCAAGGAAAACCGCCAAAAGTGATCCGATGCGCCCACCCCAGGAAGAACACTCACAGTCTGCAGCGGCTTCTGGGATCTGTAGTCCCACAGCAGTAAACTTGACAAAAGGCAAGGTGTCTCCAGGGGGGAGTGAACATCTCTGATTCACAACGCAGGTGTCTCTAGCCCGGCTGTGGCACTGCAATGGTATGAACCCAAAAGAACCATTGAACATGTCCATCAAGGGGATAAGCCCCTCTGGGCCACTTTAACCACCTCCCATCCGGCCATTGTATATAAATGGCCGGACGGTGGCAGTGCAGGGCGGGTGGCTGTTTATAAACGGCCTCCCCGCCCCCTGCCCGCGATCCAGTGCCCACTGTGTTCTCCGGACACAGTGGAACACCAATCGTCATACGGGACCTCTGTGCGAGGTCCCGATCATGTGATCACTGATTGGCCAATCAGTGATCACATGCAGAGTAGTAAGCAAGATGTCACTTCTGACATTGCTTACTACGTGTGAAATCTGTGAATGATCACAGAGATCACATGGTACAGGGCTATTCACAACAGCCTTGTACCATGTGACAAGCTGTGACCAATCACAGCTCACACAGTAGTTCTCAATGGCTGCAAGAATGCAGCCAGAGAAAAGGAGAAATTATTGCTTTTGCAGCCTTTATGGGTGTAAAAGCAATCAGTGTAAAAAAAAAAAAATCTTTATCACCCCCCACAAGTAATACAGTGTCACCATGGTGACACTGTACTGCTAGGGTGACAGTATGTAAAAAAAAAAAAAATTAAAATGTAAAAAAAAATGTTTAAAAATAATAATTTTTGGTTATATAAACTAATTTGGGTTTTTTTTTTTTTAGTAAAAAGATAACAGAATAAATTTTGGATAAGATTTCTGATGAAATATTATTTATTTGCAAAATTTTATAAGAAAAACACTTTTTTTTTCAAAATTTTGGGACTTTTTCATTTACATAGCAAAAAAAAATAAAAATCCCAGCGGTGAATAAATACCACCAAAATAAAGCTTTATCTGTCTAAAAAAAAATGCTAAAAAATTCATATGGGTACAGTGTTGCATGACCGCGCAATTGTCATTCAAAGTGTGATATCGCTGAAAGCTGAAAATTGGCCTGGACAGGAAGGGGGGGGATGAAAGTGTCCGGACTGGAAGGGGGTGAAAGTGTCCGGACAGGAAGGGGGGGGGGGGGGGTGAAAGTGTCCGGACTGGAAGGTGGGAAAGTGTCCGGACTGGAAGGGGGTGAAAGTGTCCGGACTGGAAGGGGGGGAAAGTGTCCAGATAGGAAGGGGGTGAAAGTGTCCGGACTGGAAGGGGGGGTGGGGAGGGGGGTGAAAGTGTCCGGACTGGAAGGGGGTGAAACTGTCCAGACTGGAAGGGGGGGGGGGGGGGGTGAAAGTGTCCGGACTGGAAGGGGGGGGAAAGTGTCCGGACTGGAAGGGGGGGAAAGTGTCCGGACTGGAAGGGGGGGGGAAAGTGTCCGGACTGGAAGGGGGGGGTGAAAGTGTCCGGACAGGAAGGGGGTGAAAGTGTCCGGACTGGAAGGGGGGGGAAAGTGTCCGGACTGGAAGGGGGTGAAAGTGTCCGGACTGGAAGGGGGGGGAAAGTGTCCAGACTAGGAAGGGGGGGAAAGTGTCCGGACTGGAAAGTGTCCGGACTGGGGGGGGAAAGTGTCCGGACTGGAAGGGGGGGAAAGTGTCCGGACTGGAAGGGGGGGTTGAAAGTGTCCGGACTGGGGGGGTGAAAGTGTCCGGACTGGAAGGGGGTGAAAGTGTCCGGACTGGGGGGGGGTGTGAAAGTGTCCGGACTGGAAGGGGGGTGAAAGTGTCCGGACAGGAAGGGGGTGAAAGTGTCCGGACTGGAAGGGGGGAAAGTGTCCGGACTGGAAGGGGGTGAAAGTGTCCGGACTGGAAGGGGGGGAAAGTGTCCGGACAGGAAGGGGGTGAAAGTGTCCGGACAGGAAGGGGGGGAAAGTGTCCGGACTGGAAGGGGGGGAAAGTGTCCGGACTGGAAGGGGGGGGAAAGTGTCCGGACTGGAAGGGGGGGAAAGTGTCCGGACAGGAAAGGGGGGGAAAGTGTCCGGATAGGAAGTGGTTAACATAGAAGTAGAGTGGTCGCAGTTGATCCTGCCTGAGCAAGAATCTGCATGCGCTCTACAGTACTGGGGAGACTACCAGGATCTATGTATCCGGCTCGTCACTCATAGTTGATTGATTATAGAACAAAAGTCTGAGCTGTGAGTTGCAGATGTGAAGGGGGGGGGGGAGGAGGGGGTTGGCCACCAGCAATGACATTTCTTTTTTGGTTGTACCTAGTATCCTATTCCCAAAGGTCATGATCCAGAGATCCGGCTGTGTCCTTCAATGAAAGGAATCCCCTGCAAATCTCAGCAACAAGAATCATCTACTGCCACGGCTGGGATTGACTCTTGAGGGTTGATGTACTAAAAACTGGAGCACTTGCAGTCTGGAACAGCTGTGCGCGGTAGCCAATCAGCTTGTTCAGTTACCCCCGGTTCACATCTATGTGGCCGTGCGGACCGCGTTTTGCATGGGCATGAGAGCCCAATCATTTGAATGGACTCCCGTGCCCGTGACACGCAGGGAAAAGTCCCGGCACTTCTTTGGAAAACGCAGCCGAGGTTCCCAGTACGGTTGCGTTTTCCAGTGCGGGTGGCGTGTTATTAGTAATGGCACGGGTCCGCATTTCTCTGTGCAGGTGGTGCGGCTCAATTGAATTTACCCCAGGTGAGCTCCAATCACAGCGTAGAAACATCTCGGCAAAAATCAAGAGAAATGGGAGGAACCTGAGCTAAATTTCAATTGTTGCAAAAGGGTCTGAATACTTATGACCAGGGGCGGACTGACCATTTGGAAACTCGGGAACTGCCCGAGGGCCCGGGGTCAGTAGGGGGCTCTATGAGATGCCCCTGGTACCTTTTTTATAGGCTTTTTTGAGTTTGGGCAAGGACACAGGGGCCCCATGATCCCCTATTGCCCGGGGGCCCCATGAGTTGTCAGTCCGCCCCTGCTTATGACAGTGTGATATTTAATTTTTTTTTTCTATAAATTCAGAATTTCTTCTAATGGCACTTGCCCACGGGTCCACAATTCTCTGTGCGGGTGCACGGATTTTCGTGCAGATCCGCAGCGGCACTACCCGCACAGATGTGAACCGGGGGGGTTAAAGCTTTGACAATAAAACCTGGAAGGTGATTGGTTTTCTTTGCAGAGCTGCACCAGATTTTGCGCGCTCCAGTTTTAGTAAATCTCTCCCCTTTTGTGTGCGTCCAGGAAATTGGTGTCACAAATAGCTGCAACCATCAACAGCCTGTCATTGCAGCCTACGGGCTCCAGCAATCCGCATGCAGCTGTGAATCCCAGCAGCAGGAATCAGTAGATGGTTGACACTGGGATTCGCGGCGTGGCTAAACGCCTGTGTGCACGAAGACTAATAAAGTTTTTCCATTACTTCAGCGCTGTGAACTAACTGAGGTTTTAAATGTAATAGGAAATTGCAGCATGCAACAAAGCCGGGGTCTAAGAAAGGAATGTGTGTGCGGCCCCCACACTTACCCGGCTCCTGCTACAACGCACAGCTCTCTCTGCAATGGATGCACACTGACCGTGCGGGGGCTCGACAAGTCTACAGGAGCTTGTACTTCGTAGGATGTTCCACGGGTTCTACGATCCATCAGTGACACCTTCGAATCCCAGTGACTGACTATCAGGACAGAACCATCAGCTGAATAGAACCCGAAGGAAGAGAAGCTTTCCTCCTCGTCACGATAGATCTGGAGAGAAATAGGACAAGCCTTACGTCACTCCTTGTCAGGAAACCGCCAAGTCCGGAGTCAAGGAACGTATAGATTATTATTCAAAATCTCTAGAATAAACCCGAATTCCAGCATTTACCTTGGATAACGTGTGTAAAATATACGAGGTGTAATCCTGGACTCCCGTCTGTCCTTTATGGACTTTCAACCCCAAATCTTGTAGACTCTGCCTCCGAAACATCTCCATAATACGCCTCTTTATAACCATTGAAACCACTAAGCAACCTATTCCCTCCCTGGTTATCTCTCACCTTGACTAATGTAACTCCCTCCTCATTGGCCGACCTCATCGCAGGCTATCCCCTCTTCAGTCTATCATGAATGCTGCTGCCAGACTCATCCACCTAACTAACCGTTCTGTATCTGCCACCCCTCTCTGCCAATCCCTCCACTGGCCTCCACTAAGTGTCCTCCACCCCTCTCTGCCAATCCCTCCACTGGCCTCCACTCAGTGTCCTCCATCTCTCTCTGCAAATCCCTCCACTGACCTCCATTCAGTGTCCTCCACCCCTCTCTGCCATTCCCTCCACTGGCCTCCATTCAGTGTCCTCCACCCCTCTCTGCCAATCCCTCCACTGGCCTCCATTCAGTGTCCTCCACCCCTCTCTGCCAATCCCTCCACTGGCCTCCATTCAGCGTCCTCCATCCCTCTCTGCCAATCCCTCTACTGGCCTCCATTCAGCGTCCTCCACCCCTCTCTGCCAATCCCTCCACTGACCTCCATTCAGTGTCCTCCACCCCTCTCTGCCAATCCCTCCACTGACCTCCATTCAGTGTCCTCCACCCCTCTCTGCCAATCCCTCCACTGACCTCCACCCCTCTCTGCCAATCCCTCCACTGGCCTCCATTCAGTGTCCTCCACCCCTCTCTGCCAATCCCTCCACTGGCCTCCATTCAGTGTCCTCCACCCCTCTCTGCCAATCCCTCCACTGGCCTCCATTCAGTGTCCTCCACCCCTCTCTGCCAATCCCTCCACTGACCTCCACCCATCTCTGCCAATCCCTCCACTGGCCTCCATTCAGTGTCCTCCACCCCTCTCTGCCAATCCCTCCACTGGCCTCCATTCAGTGTCCTCCACCCCTCTCTGCCAATCCCTCCACTGGCCTCCATTCAGTGTCCTCCACCCCTCTCTGCCAATCCCTCCACTGGCCTCCATTCAGTGTCCTCCACCCCTCTCTGCCAATCCCTCCACTGGCCTCCATTCAGTGTCCTCCACCCCTCTCTGCCAATCCCTCCACTGGCCTCCATTCAGTGTCCTCCACCCCTCTCTGCCAATCCCTCCACTGGCCTCCATTCAGTGTCCTCCACCCCTCTCTGCCAATCCCTCCACTGGCCTCCATTCAGTGTCCTCCACCCTTCTCTGCCAATCCCTCCACTGACAAACACCTAACAAACACTGACCTCATCGAAGACAGAACGAGTGACATCACCGCAGCGCACCGAGCCATCATAGCTGAGTGACAGCAAATGAGCCGGATTCCTTGGACAGAACGCCAGGCAGCCGACACTACGTGAATGGAGTTCAAACATATAAATTCCACCATCATCAGACTTGTTATCCTACAAAACAAAGAATAAGTTGAATATGAGTGCGGATTATTACTACTACTATTACTACTACAGGTACTTGTATAGTGCTGTCAATTTCCGCAGCGCTTTACATATATATTGTACATTCACATCAGTCCCCGCCCCCGAAGAGCGTACAATCTAAGGTCCCTAACTCACATTCATACATACACATACTAGGGACAATTTAGACAGGATCCAATTCACCTCCCAGCATGTCTTTGGAGTGTGGGAGGAAACCGGAGTAACCGGAGGAAACCCATGCAGTAAGAGGGAGAACATGCAAACTCCAGACAGGTGGTTGGGATTTGAACTGACGACCCCAGTGCTGCTAGGCAGAAGTGCTAACCACTTAGCCCTTGCTGATCAGTGGATCTGTAATTTCCCACTACACCACTGCAAAGTCATGGCTACCACTCCCATAAAATCAGGCCAACCAGCCCGATGCAAAACGTCTTCCAGGGATGTTGAATTTCTATCGTCCAACGCCTGGGATATGTAGTTCCGGGCATCGGGCAGGAAGCTTTTTTTTTAGCTCTGCTGTGGGCAAGCAGCGGGCTCACCTGTCAGGTGATAGCTTTCGGACGGCAGCGCTGCCGCCCGATTGCTTTCACACAGTGCCAGCCTCCTCCCCCCGTGTGTGAACCTCCCACTCACAAAGTCTCACAGGCTCCGCTTGCCCATCTGCGGGCCCGGGACTGGCTCTGTGTGCGCTGGCGACTAGAGGGGAGGGAGGAGAGCGAACACGTCCGCTCCCCTTCCTTTCTTGTCCTGACCCAAAAGTCACTTCCAGGTCCCCATTCACAGATTCCCAGCCATTGAGGGAAAGGATATAATGCAGTGCGATGTACACTGCATTACATGCAGGGGAGCACAGGGGAGACATTGGGGGTCTTACAGACCCTGGATGTCTCATTAAAGAGAACCTTTCACCAAAAAAAATCACATAGGAGACTTTTTGTCCCCTATGTGATGAAGATAAAAAGTTAAATTAAAAAAAAAAAATTTAAATAATAAAAAAGTCAAAAGTTGCACCCAAGCACGTAACATCCCCTCAAAAGAAAAAAGAAAAAGAAAAAAAGGGAGCCCCACCCCCACACATACAAAAGTAAATGCTCATGAAAATGTTCATTGCGAAACATATGTCACATATCGCCGCGCACGCCAGAATGAGAGCAATAATTCTTGCAGGAGACCTCCTCCGAAACACTAAACCGATGACCTATAAGGGGCATAATAAGGGTCCCCTATAAAAAATATAGGGTACTGAAATTTTACACCATTTCACGAGCACACGCAAATTTAAGGTTTGACATGTTGGATATCTATTTACTTGGTGGAACCTCATCTTTTATACTTTACAAAAAAAATAGGGTCATTTATTGCTGTTTTCTGCCCTAAAATTAATTTAGGTGTATTATTTAGTGAAATTTTGCGTTTCCTAGACCTTTACAATAATATCATGCGACATCAAAAATTGGAACTATCACTATTTTATTCTCTAGGATCTTCGCCTTCAGAAAATATCTCGTGTTTGGGGGTTTCGTGTAATCTTCAAGCGTAAAATGATTTTTTAAACGTGTGCAAAAACGGCTCTGGTATCAAGAAGGATAAGCCGGGCACTCCCCTTCCCTGACAAGCACCCAATCGGTGCTCATTACACTGCACAGTCTCTCCCCTCCCTGCTGGTTCCTGGGTGCAGTGCTGGAGACAGGCAGGGAGGGGAGGAGGAGACAGGCAGGGAGGGGAGGAGGAGACAGGCAGGGAGGGGAGGAGGAGACAGGCAGGGAGGGGAGGAGGAGACTGACAGCGCAATGTTAAAAAAAGTAAACGTTTACGTTGCCATAAAGCCTCTTTTGATTTAAAAAGTCCCGACATTCCTAACAGAGCCTCAGATTTAAATATGGTTTTGGTTAAAATTGATTTTTATTTTTATATCGGGACAAGTAGACGGTCGTGCGGGACAAGTAGACGGTCGTGCGGGACAAGTAGACCGTCGTGAGGGACAAGTAGACCGTCGTGAGGGACAAGTAGACCGTCGTGAGGGACAAGTAGACCGTCGTGAGGGACAAGTAGATGGTCATGAGGGACAAGTAGATGGTCATGAGGGACAAGTAGATGGTCATGAGGGACAAGTAGATGTCATGAGGGACAAGTAGATGGTCATGAGGGACAAGTAGATGGTCATGAGGGACAAGTGTCATGAGGGACAAGTAGATGGTCATGAGGGACAAGTAGACGGTCATGAGGGACAAGTAGACGGTCATGAGGGACAAGTGTCATGAGGGACAAGTAGATGACCATGAGGGACAAGTAGATGACCATGAGGGACAAGTAGATGGTCATGAGGGACAAGTAGATGGTCATGAGGGACAAGTAGACTGTCGTGAGGGACAAGTAGACGGTCGTGAGGGACAAGTAGACGGTCATGAGGGACAAGTGTCATGAGGGACAAGTAGATGACCATGAGGGACAAGTAGATGACCATGAGGGACAAGTAGATGACCATGAGGGACAAGTAGATGACCATGAGGGACAAGTAGATGACCATGAGGGACAAGTAGATGACCATAAGGGACAAGTAGATGGTCATGAGGGACAAGTAGACTGGGACATCGCTTTAGTCCCTGGACAAGTAGTTTTTTCAAAAATGTCCACACTCCTGTATCTACCCTCACACAGCCCCCTGGAGTTTGTGAGGGCCGTGTCTGTAGATTTGGCCATGCAGAGTTTGTCAAACTTCTAGGACAAGCATGAATCGCACCCCTTCTCTCTGAGAATAGAAAAATATTTTTTTTTTTTTTGGCAGTGTGCACAATATTGTTCTTTCGGCCATGTCAGTGAGAGAACCTCAGGAAGGTGATGGGCGGACAGAATTCCTAAATATGAATTAATATTACAATCCAGAGAATATGTGGGATGTGCTGGAAAAATAAAAATCATTACACAACTCGAGCCCGGTACACGGGGGCCAAAAAATAAAAATCAGACAGTTCAGCAGGAACCAGCCAAGTTATGGCCCTAGTGTACAGCTGTGTGTTCTACAGAAGCTGGTCATGCCGAACAGGCATGCTGATAAACCAGCATCCGACCAGTGCTTGCAGCCAATGGCTGCAAACGCTGATCAGTGTATCCTGGGGGTGGGGGGAGGAATAGTACCCATGTCTGAATACAAAGACACAGTGAGGGAGATTGCCTGCTGGGATGTCATTCCGACTTGAGGTGCGGCTTGCAAGACAAAGATGTCTATGCGAGTCGCACCTGAAGTACTTTAGAGACCAGGGCAGCTCTGCCCAAGTCAGAATCGAACCGATACGCTCGCTTTAACTGCGGACAATAGAGTGCGATTAGAAACTTGCACGGCATTGCAAGTCGCACCCGGTATGACTGGCAACTTACACTTTCAATGTGTCATCCCAGCCCGCCCACATTTCTTTCCTTTCAGTTCCGGGCGCCAGATTTAAAAACTGGGTCCTAACTTTTTTTTTTTTTTTTTTTTTTTAACTGGCTCCTAGATTCAAAGCCCTGACACAGTGTACTGTAAGTTGCAGATACAGGAATTTTTAGCTGGGGTTATTTAACCACTCCAAGTCCGGACACTTTCCCCCCCTTCCAGTCCGGACGCTTTCCCCCCCTTCCAGTCCGGACGCTTTCCCCCCCTTCCAGTCCGGACGCTTTCACCCCCTTCCAGTCCGGACGCTTTCACCCCCTTCCAGTCCGGACACTTTCCCCCCCTTCCAGTCCGGACACTTTCCCCCCCCCTTCCAGTCCGGACACTTTCACCCCCTTCCAGTCCGGACACTTTCACCCCCTTCCAGTCCGGACACTTTCCCCCCTTCCAGTCCGGACACTTTCACGGACACTTTCCCCCTTTCCAGTCCGGACACTTTCACCCCCTTCCAGTCCGGACACTTGCACCCCCTTCCAGTCCGGACACTTGCACCCCCTTCCAGTCCGGACATTTGCACCCCCTTCCAGTCCGGACACTTTCACCCCCTTTCCAGTCCGGACACTTTCACCCCCCTTTCCAGTCCGGACACTTTCACCCCCTTCCAGTCCGGACACTTTAACCCCTTTCCAGTCCGGACACTTTCACCCCTTTCCAGTCCGGACACTTTCACCCCTTTCCAGTCCGGACACTTTCACCCCCTTTCCAGTCCGGACACTTTCACCCCCCTTCCAGTCCGGACACTTTAACCCCTTTCCAGTCCGGACACTTTCACCCCTTTCCAGTCCGGACACTTGCACCCCTTTCCAGTCCGGACACTTGCACCCCCTTCCAGTCCGGACACATGCACCCCCTTCCAGTCCGGACACATGCACCCCCTTCCAGTCCGGACACTTGCACCCCCTTCCAGTCCGGACACTTTCACCCCTTTCCAGTCCGGAACCTTTCACCCCTTTCCAGTCCGGACACTTTCCCCCCCTTCCAGTCCGGACACTTTCACCCCCTTCCAGTCCGGACACTTTCACCCCCTTCCAGTCCGGACACTTTCACCCCCCTTCCAGTCCGGACACTTTCACCCCCTTCCAGTCCGGACA